TTCTCCTACTCAAGTTCATCTTGTCAGGTATTAACCACAGCAAAGAGAACAAATAGTAATATAGAAAATTGGTACTGAGAAATGGAGATATTTATGTGACAAACCTTTAGCATGTGATTCATAGGTATTCTGAACTGTTTTATGGAAGGGATGTTGAAAAGAGTTTGGAGCTGTAGGCTTGAGAAATTCCGGAATGCAATAAGCTGAACTCCATGGAGCCAATCATGGAAGTCTGAAAGACCAGAATGTCAATAGAAATGCAAATACTGAAGACTGTGTTCATGTGGTTTCAGGGGGTAGCAAGAACTCTATGGGGAACTGTACTGTAGACCACTTGTGTTATATTTGGCAAAGAATTTGTCTATGCTTTGGGTCCTGAACACATGATTGAGGCTAAATTAAAAACTAATGGGCTAAGTTGTTTGGTGAGAGGAACTTTAAGACAATATAACACCCAGGCCATGGAGCAGCTGTTGTGTGCTTTATTTGCCATAATTTAAAGAGAGATAGAGAAAGAGCAGAAAACGAGACAGAAAAATATGCAAAATGTTCAGCTTAGCAAGGAAAAGAGTCCAAACCCAGTTTAAGCTGTGAACAGCATTTATTTGGACAAGTGTCTGTAATTGTTCAAGAGATTCATGCCAGGAAGGAGAAACTTTGGACTTTGCACTGGGAAAATAAAAAAATGGTACCTTGAAGGCAAGACTCCACCCATTGAAAAGGTTTAGAGTTATTCTAATGCAAATTAACTTGAAAGAAGGATATCTGGAAAGAGAGCCTTCAAGGTGCCCTGCTGGAATATAATTATCCAGAGAAATATTTTCCCAAGTCCAGTCTCAAAGGCATACAAAGTACCTTGGTCCAAGGTGGCTACCTAACCTGGAGTCATTCATGAAAGATTAGTTTTACAGGCATGCAAAAATGGAGATGTTATGGGGTCTTAGAGGCTTGCGCCAGGGTTTTAGAAAACTGCTTAGGGTAGGCACTATGCCTCGGGGTTAGGGTCTTCAAATGGAACCCCTGAGGAAGGCCACATATGAAGCTCTGAAGACGAAGCCTACATTGTATTGAAGACCTCATAATATTGATGATGCTACAAACACGGGTGCTCTTACAAGGAAAGCAGGAAGCACCAAGTAAAGAAACAGATTGAAGGGAAGAAGCACAGGTGATGGCATCATGAGTACCTGATACTGGACCTGGGGTTGCTGCTCTAAGGTTTGAGGCAATGAAGAGAAACTTATATAAAATATAAGTAATCTAATACTGAATAGGCATTCAGTATTTTGTTCTAAAAGTAATTTGACTTCTTATGTTTGTTTGTTTGTTGTTTATTTTTAAGACATGGTTTCTCAGTATAACCTTGGTTGTTGTCCTGGAACTTGCTCTGAAGACCAGGCTGGCCTTGAACTCACAGAGATCTGCCACCAATTCCTCCTGAGTGCTGGGAATAAAGGTGTGCACCACCATGATTGATCATATTAAAGGTTGATCTTGATGACATCATCTCATCTAATAAACACAGATGGAGGGATCTGCATCAACTGTCACCATAGCAACTGCTTCAAGTGGGAATCAACAACAGTTAGCAAAAGTTATATGTTAAAGAATAAGACATGAGCTATATAAAGGTTTCAAAATATCTAATTACAAAGGGACAAACATTCACCTTGGTGAAGGTTGGTGGAGATAACCTGAAGTAAGTGACTCAAGGCAACACTGCCAAAAGCAGGGTAGCTTGATATCAGTGCCCTCTGATATGACATGGTGTGGACTCCTGGCACACCGCCCAAACTGCAGCCCAACTCTAGGTATGAAGATAAAAGCAAACTGAGAATGTTCTGCAGGATAACTGACCTCTACTCTCATAGCTCCATTATCATAGCTACCAAGGCTGTAGTAGATAAAGACAGAAGAACTGCTCTAGGTTGAAGGATGAATGCCATGAATTACCCAGGATTGGATCTTAGGACAAAAAAAAAATCCCAAATCCCTATACCAAAACCCAAAATCCAACCCCCCACCCAAAAAAAAAAACCAAAAAACTCCTCCAAAACAAAACAAAAAACCCCAACCAACCAACCAACCAAAAACCCAAACCAAACCAAATCAAAAACACTTTAAAGAAATATAAAGAATACTAGAATGTTTTGGTTTGAATGCAGCGCACAAGACTGATAACCAACACTATTGTGTCAATATCAATTCCTGATTTCTGTCATCATGAGGAAGTTATGGGAAAGTATGTTTCAGCTCAGGGAAACTACTATGCACTGAAATCATTTACAGTGAAGAAGCTAAAAGGGCAAACCACACCCTTAACTTAGTGTCAAAAGCTTTAGAAGAACATGGGTAGATTGGAATTCTTTATACTATTTTGCCATTTTCCTTTAAGTCTGAAATGACTATAAAATAAAGTAGTTCCACTTGTGCAGTCGATGACTGTCCATTCCTCTGCTGTGCTTGCCCCTGTCACCATGGCTGAGCAACGTCCTAGAGATGGTGGCACTGCTCTCCCTATCTCAATGGCCTTGAGCTGTTGTGCTAGATGAATCCTCTGTCTTGTTAGGTTGCTGCAGTGGGGGCACCAGGGAGCTTCCTTCACCAATTCACATCTACTGAATGTGTAGAAAGTAGAATAGTGCAGAGAGAAGGAAGAGACTGCTCATGGGCGCAGAACTAGCAAACAGAAATTAAGAACGGGGATGCCTTAGGGGGGCATCTGGCAGCAGGAAAACCTCCTGAAGGGGGCTTGCAAAGTAAAGAAGCAGAAAAGAAGATCTAAGGAGGAAGAAGGATGTTTGGGTGTGGGGAGCTTCCTGGCCATTTGCAATTTCACCACACTGGTCACTTTTGTGAATGTCTGGTCTTAGTTCCCGGGCCAGATAGCAGAACTGGTTGTGGTTGGCAGTACAGAAGAGTAGGGAACATCTGGACCGGGATAGAGACCCTCAAAGGGCAGTTCGTGGGGTATACAAGAATCAAAATGGGTAATAACCACAGTAATGACAGCAGAGGGAGCCTCAGCTTGTCCTTCTGACTAGTCTACAACCATAGTGTGTTTCCTTTTGTTCAATCTGCACAGAAAGTTCAATATTCCTATTTCAGAGTAAACTGAGTCATGATGAGGTTAAGCCAAAGGTCATCTGCCAGTTACAGATCCATGCTTCAGACTCTGGCCCTGAGCTCACCTCTAAACTGAAACCCAGGGGAATCCCAAGTGACCACTTTAGATTTAACACACTCCACTCACGGTTAGCTACTCACTTTTATGACCAATTTTAGAGACCATGCAGCTAGGAGATATATTATTAATATCCAGCAGGTTGTCTGTAGATGACCTGTGCTGTGTGAATCAAAAGGGAAAACTTGCTTAAGTTTTTTTATTTTAGAATTTGGAGGTCACTTTTGCTAACTCAAATCAGTAGAAACTAGTAACCCTTCCCCTCTGGGCCTGTGCAAAGTGTAAGACCCTCTGATGTCTGCTTTTTGGTCTTGCTTACGCCATCATTTTCTGAACATGTTGTGAAGAGCAAGAATGTTTGGTTATGTATACGTTGACCCCTGACTACCTCATTTTTCCTTACCTCTAAATAACCACCTTCCCCATGCCTCTTGCCTACCCTGCTTCCTTACCTCCTGAATGACACTGAGTCCCATTTGAGGGATTCGGTAGGATTGAGGCTCCCTTTTTCATCTTCACCCTTAACTGTTGCATTAATTATTTTCTCGTTGCTATGACAGAATGTCTGATAAATGAGACTTAAAGGCAGATGGGTTTATTTTGGCTCACAGCAGTAAAGTCCAGCATGGTAAGAGAGACATGGCAGCGGGAGTGTGTGGAGCCTGGTCATGTGGGATCTGTGATCAGGAAACAGAGAGAGACAAATACTCCAGCTGCTCATTCAATCTGGGACCTAAGGCCATAGGATAGAGCCGCTCATATTGAGGGTGTGTCTACCCTCCCCCTCCGTTAAGCCTCTCCGGAAATAGCCTCACAGATACACGCAGCAGGTGCCTCTAAACCCCATCAAGGTTAAGGTTAACCCCATCACGACTGACTTTCGCATCAGCCCTTTCTCTTTTGAAACACTCCTCGTTTCAGTTAGAGCCCTGACGAATGAGCAGACGGTTCAATAACAAAACTAAAGATAACTCTTTGAACTTTCTTGTCTTTTGTTCTCATCCCTCTCCTTTCCCTCCAGCAATCTGTGATGGCAGAAATCAAAGACTGGAAAGCCTGGACCTTCTCCACTGTGTTGTGGATCAGCTCCCTGGAATCGGTGTTGGGCAGAGCCGGAGAGGCCGGCCGGGCAGGGAGGATGAAACAAGTTGGCCTGTGACCTACTGGAGCACCACGGGAAGGATGAACTGAGTGTCTGATGGCAAGAGAAAACTGTGGCTCAGACGGGCGCTGTTCTCTTTCCCTGGTTAGAGTTCCTGTGTAGCCAGCGTGTGGGAGACACCTGGGAAGATATATAGCAGAGTGGGCCCCATAGTCCCTGGTTGGTCTTCTTGTCCTCAGCCCTCTTCAGAGCCCTGCCTCTCACAGGTGTGAGGTGATGGAGAAGGAGCTGGGGTGGGAGTAGTCAAAGCAGGGACTCCCTTGGGAGCCTCTGCTGACTTCTTTCTTATTTTAAGAGCAGTAGGCAGCAAGTTCCAGAACGTCTGAAACATGAAAAAGAGACTTAATAAATATACTTTCAAACCCGAGACTCAGCGCCTGGCCAGGAGACATGCAAACGTTTTAATATCCTTGTTCTGCATTTACTTAAATGGAAACAGCCCCTGGTATTTTTAGCTGCTGTGTAATCAAAGTAAGAAGGAAAGGGGAATGTATACTTTTTTTCCTTCTCCTAGTTAGAATAAGAGAATGAATTGCTCAATTCTCAGCAGAGTCCAGGAAGGGAGGAAAATCCCGGAGTCCCACTGATTGGCTCCTCCTCTGTCATAGCCTTGATTTAAACCCAGGGAGGGAAGAAGAGGGAGAAGAAATTGAGGGACAGAACAGCATTGAAGTCTACAGTACCAGACCAGCTCACAGGAGGCAGGAGGGTTGGAAGTGGTGCCCAGCAACCTCCCAGGTAAGAGTGCCAGTTCCTGAGGCTTTATCATTGATTGGGAGAGTGATAGCCAATGTGAGTAATATTGTATGCTGAAGCGCGCTGTTGGAAATCCAGGCAAGGTAATATAGATTAAGTTCAAACTATTTCCCGGGACCTGTGACCCATGTCCTCAGTTGGTATTAGACTCTGCCCTTCCCAAGCCAGGAGGCACCAGCCCCTTACCTGCCAAGTTGAGTGTGTAGGGCACCAGATTCTACATGGAGCAGTGCATTTTACATGAAGTGTTTTCTTTATTTCTATTTGTGTTTCTTCTTACAAAGACCTCTTTCTCTCTGTGGAGTTTCTTATGTGTTATAGCTCGTTGTTCTCCTAAACCAGAGCTTTCATTTTGATTGTGTTTAGGAAACTATATCTAACTTTTCCGTCTTTGAGATTTTCATGTGATTTGAGGTTTTTGAGCTGATGAAGTTGATGCTTGCAGACTTGCACGAATGGGCTCATTGAGTTGTACGTGTTTTAATCATTCCATGTAAGAGGAGATTGTCTTTCCCTATTTCTCATACGGTTACCCTCACAGTGCCTTGAAGTGGGCACTTTCCGTCACTTCAAGAGTGATGTGGGAGACTGGTTTTTGAAGATATGACCTTTTATTTATAATGATGTAGGTTGGGAGAGGGCTGGGTGAAGAGGGAGGAGGGAGACAGGGCTTCACCCCTAAGGACCAGATTAGCTTATATAAGCATTGACAGAATCATAACTTCAACATAGAAATAACAGATTATCCGCATCTGCGTTGGTGAGCCACGTCTCTGCCCTGTTGAAGACTCAGGGTGACGGTGACAGTGTCAAGAGAAGACTCAAGAGGAGGTATCGAGTATCAATACCAGGGTCCTTTCCCTCAGAGACAAAGGAGAAGCAGGGCCTGACTTCTCTTATACTACTCTGAATTCTTTTAATGTCTTCAAGTGCGTTGATTCCCAAAGCAAGGAAACTGGGGCAGATGATTTCCATCCCATCTTGTGGCTTCTGGCTTTCATTCTAGTGTCGTGCTGTGGTTTGACATGGAGGGTAGACCAGCTCCTTTTGGCGATGATGCCTGAGGAAATTATACCCAGGCCCATGGAAACTCTGCCCCCTCCAGAGCCCTGGCTCCCATAGGATCTGGCTGCAGACATGAGGTCATGGTTTAGGTTCTGCTGGAGCGTTTGGAACCACCAGTCTGCAAGCTGATGGTGTTCTGATATCAGGCCTGGCTCCTGATGGTCAGCAGCTTGGCCTGGTTCCACCACAGAAGACTCAGGCAGATGCCAACCAGCTGCCGTCTAAATATGTGCATAGCCAATGAGGGTAGAACAGTGTAAATTCCTGGAAATTAGCATTGGCTCTTTAGCTTGATAGAAGAAGGCTGGAACTCTAAAGTTGTTTCAATGTGTGGGAAACCACGTTAAACTAAGAAAGAAATTGTAACTTTTTGTTATGAGTCTCTCCTTGCTGGCATTCACCTGAAGCAAGAGCCCATCATGGCTGTGGAGAATAGGGGTAATTGTAGATCAGCTAACACTTTATCATTTTGGGGACTTGGTTGGTAAAAGAAGGTTCTCAAATTTAGATTTCATGTCTATTTTATCTTCGCATTGTGGATGAGCCCGGTCCATGGAGGCTAACAGAAAACCTTTCTGTGAGAAATTAATTCATTCCCATGGGGATAAATGATCATCTTTGCCTATTGTTCACAGACAGCTTTTAAAGCTCTTGACATAGAAACTGGTATATAAGGAGCATTTAGAAAATGGTAGCTACTATTATCATCATTCATTGGACCCTTTGCAAAAGGCAGACGAAGATTTAGGCTGATAAAAGAAAATGAGCCTGTCGAAACTTGTGAAAAAGTAGTTGAGCTCCAGGGCTGAGCTGGGTGCTTCATTCATTGTCTTTTCTGGTGGATAGGCAACATATATAGTCAGAGGGGTTGTTGCATAAGGTGTGACAACTCTTAAAAACACTTCCTGGGGACTCATTAGATGGACCCAGTGAACCAGGAGCACAGGAGCACACAGCCTGGAATATGCAGTTGTGTAGAGCCACGTCTTCATCCTTGACCGGTCTCTCATCCTGTATGGAATCCCTGTTCAGAGAGTTTAGAGCCACAACTAAGAATGTTTGTATCCATTTGGCTCAACTGGAGGCTGACCTAGAGGGAACAGTGCTGTCTCATACACATGATTCTCTTGCAAACTGAAGAATGGGAAAGGGGGGCATTGTTTGTCTGAGGTCTCACATCCAGGGTGGATCATACCACAGTAGTTCAGCTCCCTGAGAACTTTATCTCCTAGACTAAGCACTCTAGTCACAAGACTCAGAACCACTCAGGGACCAGGCTGTAGACTGCTGGCAAACTATGTTCAAGAAGAGTAAAGGAAGGAGTGAAGGTTGCCAGTCACATTTGTGACATCAGGACACCCTTAGCCACTCACTTCTTCATTTTTTTTTCTTCGTAGCTCAATAAGGTCTACCCTATTATTTGGGGAGAGAATATCTTCTAAGTGACTCTACTGGAAATCCACCGTAAAATAGCTTTTCTGAGACCCAAAGCAGTATACTCATTTGCTTGTGGTTAACCGTTAGGCAGGATGAAGTCATGAAGGAACAGAGAAAGGCCTGAATTTAAGTACAAAGCTCTTTGCCAGTGGCTAGATGCTGGCAAGTGTTCTATTTGATGTAAGTAGTATTTTTCCTGACTCAGTGTCTGTCTTTCTTTGGAGAGAATGAGGTACACAAAGGCCATCCAGCCCTAATGAGAAGTGCTTGGGAACTGAGAAACATTCTCTCCTACTAAGGCTTGCCTGACACATGCCCTAGTGGATAGAGGTCTCCATAGTCTCTGCTGTCTCCTGCCTTGAGGTAGGAAGTGGTAGGACCTAAACGCCCTGTGAGGAAAACACAATTCATCTCCAAGCATCAGCTCACTCTGGCCAAAGGCCAAGCATGTCCAGACTTCCGTTCCTGATTTATTAATGTTTTGTTGAATACCTGGTATGCCTTGGCTTTCCTTTCCTTTCAGAGCCTCTCTCTTGAAGGAAATATAGCAGGAAAGAGGATATTTGGTGTTTTTCTTTCCACATCTACAGTTTATATTGCAGAAAGATGAAGAATCCAGACACGAGGAGCGGATAGACCTAGTGTGTGATCTCAGCGCTGCTGCCTAACTACTTGAATGCCCTGACCAAATTATTTAACATTTTGAGTACTTATGACAAATAATATTGTTGACTGACTGTCATCATTTTGAGGATTAATTCAAGCTAATGGTTTTTTTTTTTTGATTGTTTGGCCCAGTACCCACCATCTAGTAATCACACACAGATTTATTGTCCCTTATTAAGTAACTTGCAAACTATTTGGCCAAAGCTATGCTGTGTGGCTAGGAAAACAGAAGGGACCTGTGTCATCCTAGCCACTGCCATCCATGAGCTGATAGGCATTCTGGGCTGGGAACAGACTTGGATTTGGACATGGTGCGTTTTGGCTAAAAATTAAAGCCACAGGAGTAGCTGCAGCTACTAACAGGAAAGAGCATAGAACCCCGTGACATCAGTGCATCTCAGGCAGATCCATGGACCATCCCTCCAGGTCATGCTGAGCAGTACATCCCGAGCAAAGCCTTTCTCATGGCGGCCACAGTGGCAGCATTTATTCCTGTCACTGTCTCAGTCCTCCTAGCCACTCAGTGCTCCTCCTGCGATGATGTTCAGCTTCAGTGAGACAGTAGTTCCTGGGGACCCCTGGTTTCCATGGTTTCCTGTGTTTAAATGCCCTTTTCCTCGTGAATTCCTCCAGCATCTCCCCCACTTTCCATCAAGAGCTAAGTCAAAACCATCTTTATTCAGAAATGTATCATCTGTTGTTCTTCTTGGTGAAGTTTGGTGAGCCCCCTCTGGCCACACTGAGAGTCGTCTGTGGTGTGCCATGCATATTAATGCAGAGGATGAAGTCATGCCTTCTTCATGCTGTTCAGCAAAGACAGGCTCTCTCCTGCCACATGTTGGAGGCAGAGCCAGCAGCTTCCCTCCTTGCTCACACTTCACAGAGCTAGATTGAGGATTTCCCCTGCTCGTCTTCTTTCGAACAATCACTCTGCCCAGGAAAATCTGAGCTCAGCATGTGCAATCTGAGAGGCTGTGATTAGCAAAGACATCTTGTTACAATTCAGGACAGGCGACACAGAGGGCTCCTGCAAGAGCTTCTGGGCCTTCTCATATTCCAGGCTTCAAAAACAAACAATGTAAGACAGGGTTTTGAGCAGCCTTGCTGTGGTTTATGGCAGGAGTTCCCCATTTTTTTCATTTGTTAGAAACTTCTTTAGAAAAAAAAAAACCCATCTGCATTCCATTTAGGAACCAAGAGCAGTGAGCGTGTGGAGAGTGGCACTGGATGGTAGGGGTGGGCAGAGAAGTTGACTTTGTCGGCTCTATTGTTGCCCAGAGGGGATTTTCGGGAATATAGATCATACCTTGCTATACCCACAGTAGGTGCTTGAGTGGGTACAACAGGTCCTGGAAGTGAAGGCTCCATTGTTCGCCAGTCCAAGTCTGTGGTGTTGCGTTGCACTTGATAGTCACATAACCAGCAGCAAGTTGTTATGGCCGCCACTCCTCAGCTCCCAGCTTCAGAGTCAAGTGGACAGTTTGTGGTTGGTTGCTTTATCACTGGGTTAAACTTTTGAATGAATCTCTATTCTGTATTTCTCTTCCATACCTACCCTCCAACTTATTTTGCTGGCTCCTCCCATTCCACCTTCTCACTCACAGAGGTCTCGAGCAGAGTCCTGGACTTTCCTATTAAATCACTTTCATGAACTCAAATCCATTTTCTTGACAGAACCCCCATCTTCTCCAGTGCCATCCTTTCTTCTCCCCCTGGATCAGGTTGCTAGGATCCACATAGTATGAATGTCTGTAATGGGCTTATGTGTACCTGGATGTAGTCCTTTCTCTTCTCTCAACTTGTACAACTGCTCTGTGTTTTCCAAGTCGCTTTCTGAGGTATATTGTTATATGGGGGAAAAGGGCACCCCTCTACCAAGGCCCTATCATTAAATTGTCCCTGGCTAGTCAGGTACCCGTGTCTTTGCCTGCCACCCAATTCCCTTCATCCTGGCCTCACCAACCTTCCAAACTTTCAGTAGATGCATAGATGCTACCTACTCATTAATGGAATCCAGACAGTAAGAGATGTCTCCTGACCATTCTGTTTCATCTGGAGAGGGTCCCTGTACCTGAAATATAGAAAGAGCTTGGAAGAGGGGACCTAGTTTTACTGCTATTAATAACAGATGCCTCAAACGACAGGCAGAGTGAGGACTGAATAGCACATATGAGACATATGAAGATCCCTCTTTTGCAACATAACTAAATGAATATGAAATCCCCATCACACAAAATAGCTAAAGTTTAAGGATATGAAAGTGCTTCTTTCCTCTATTGGATCATGACACACTGCATACATGTGTTGAATTACCATACTGTCCCAGACAAAGAAGTACAGATATGACAACAAAAGAGCACCAGCATGGTGCCATTCTAGCTAGTTCTTTGTGGTGACACATCCCTTCAGTACATCTGATCAAGTGAAGGTAGCACATGGGGATGGAGGTGTTTGTATCAGCAACGCGTATGGACGTAGACCAAGCTCATGAGCACACTCCAGCTCTAGGGGTGAGAGAGGGCAACAGAGAGGGCTTGAAGGTAAGGTAATCTCCTTAGAAATATCCTCTGGGGATACGTATGCAGGGATCTTGAGCAGGAACTGAGCAATCTCTGCACTTCCTAGCTGTGGTACTCAGACAATGTTCTCAACCCCTCCTTACTTGTGCACAAAAGCATGGCGTGATGGTGAGCGAGGATCCGAAAGTCAGATTGCTCAGGTTCAAGTGGTGGATGTAACCTAGCGATAGACACGTACATAGTAAGCAAGAGACCCTCTTCTGAGCATTGAAAGAAAAACTGCAACAGTCTTAGCTGTGTGCCTGCAAATGTGCCCAGTCTCCCTGTCTTTAAATAGAGGTTAAAAAATGTCAGTATAGTTCACCGTGATGGTACTAGCCTAGCACACACAAGGTCAAGTTCAGTTCTAAGACTTGAAACCGTAATGGGGTTAACAATTGGGCTGTTGTGATGACCCAGCCAGTTAGGGGATGGGAAGACTCAGAATAGTTCCTGTCTCAGAGCGAGCATTCTGTGTGCAGCTATGACTGTTGATCAGAGAAGTGGTTGATATTCACGCTCCTATAAACACCAGGGACTAGGGAGATGAAAGGCTGGCTTAGGTGAATGTGAATAGGAGCCCTTCTTGATGCTGTGGACAGTGTGTGGACTCTTAGATTCTGTTAAAAAAGGGTAAGTTCCTTTCAGTCAGCCTTCATGGCTTTCTTTATGTTTTTTTTTTTTTCCCCTCTGGATCTAGGACTCCTGGAGTGTCTGATCCCTTTCTCCAAAATGGGTCTCTGGGGGATGCTTGTCTTCCCCCTGGGATTCCTGTTTGCTTCTGTGCTCCTGGTGACTTCAGCCCCAGCCACTCCGGAGTCTTCTGGCTGCAGCAACAAAGAGCAACAGGTCACAGTCAGCCATACATACAAGATTGACGTGCCCAAGTCTGCTCTGGTTCAACTAGAAACTGACCCACAGTCACTCAGTGATGATGGGACATCACTCTTGGTTCCCGGGGAGGATGGGGAGGAGCAGAACATTATCTTCAGGCACAACATCCGTCTTCAGACACCACAGAAGAACTGTGACTTGGCAGACAGTGTCCAGGATCTGCTGGCCCGGGTGAAAAAGCTGGAGGAAGAGATGGCAGAGATGAAGGAGAAGTGTAGTACCAACCGCTGCTGCCAGGGAGCTGCTGGTAAGGCTACCATCTGGTATTCAGTCTACAAACACTTAGTGTGTGCTATATGCTGGGTCCTCCACTAGCCTTGTGGGTGCTGTGAGATCTTGTTGCATGTCCCTTTCACACTTGGCTTGTTTTCAAGGTAGAGGCCACATCCTCCCGTTTATTCTCTGATACAGCTCTAGAGGCATCTGGAAGCCTAGGCAGGGAGGGTTCCGCAGGCTAATCTCCAGGACTAATGATACCAGATGGGAGTGATCCCAGGGCTGTTCTGCTGATAGGCCAAATTGCTGCTGAGGAGGGAAATGAAGGTACACATAAAGGAAGCCGAATTTGATGTTGAGAAATTCTCAGTTTCTTCAACTGCCCAGCAAGGCTGGTTTTGTCAGCTAGCACAGTTCTGTGAACTGGAGAAGGTGTATATTAGAGTCCTGGCCCATAGTAGGTATTCAGAAAACTGTAAATGTTGTATTAGTAATAAAGTACAAAGAATGACTTTTTTCAGCTCCATTGTTTAAGAACATGTCTGCCCAGGTGACAGTAAATAGTGCTTTCTATTGTTTTGGTTAAGAGTACCCCAAAATGCCAGATATAAAACTAGGGACCGGGGACACACCACTGTGAAGAAGGCAGCATGAACCCCCCCACTCCACCCCAACCCCTGCCAGTAGCCCTATTTTGGAAATTTCCTTAGGTAGGCAAGATGACTTTCCAAGAGGCAGAAGGCACTGCATTGACTGGCCTGACCTCCAGCTTCCGCTAGCTGTGTAGGAGAGCCCAATCAAATGCCCTGGCTCACCTATCACTGAGCCTGGGGGCTACCCTGCAGTTTCTGTAGACTCAGTTCACACGCTGGGCCACCTCCATTCACCAGGATAAGAAAAAGTCCCACCTGCCTCTCTCCCTGGAGCACTGTCCCTTGAGGCTAGAGCCCAACAACCAATGAGGACCATTTAAAGTTCCTTTATGGAAAAACAAACGCTAGTCACCACCATTCACAGAGGAAGGAACCCTCTTTTAGGCAAACAAACAGGAAGCTAAGATTTGGCTCAAGTAGAAAACATTTTCCTCACAGAGACCCAAAAGATCAAGTAAATGTCAGCAGTCTCTGACTAGTCTCCAAGGAAAGAGACCCTGCTCCTCACCCACATCTTCTTTCCCCAGCAGATCTGAGCCGTCACTGCAGTGGCCACGGGACCTTCTTCCCTGAGACCTGCAGCTGCCACTGTGACCAGGGCTGGGAGGGCACTGACTGTGAGCGGCCCTCCTGTCCCGGGGCTTGCAGTGGCCACGGGCGCTGCGTGGATGGGCAATGCGTGTGTGACCAGCCCTATGTGGGAGTCGACTGTGCCTATGCCGCCTGTCCCCAGGACTGCAGTGGGCATGGCGTGTGCGTGCAGGGTGTCTGTCAGTGCCACGAGGACTTCACTTCGGACGACTGCAGCGAGCAGCGTTGTCCTGGCGACTGTAGTGGCAATGGCTTCTGTGACACTGGCGAGTGTTACTGCGAGATGGGCTTTATTGGCCCTGACTGTTCCCAGGGTGAGAGCCAAGATGCATGTTCCTATCATCCGCGGTCTCTGTTGCACTAACTTTATTACACGTTGTCTTATTCAGGAGCCTTGCCCTTTACCCTAAATAATGATTCAACTGGAGAGGCAAACACTAGAGCTGGCTGGTGGGGAAGGGGGCCCAGGTCTCACCCAGAACTACTTGAGGAACTATACAATTGGTGGCTGGTGGGTGTGGCTTCCAGTAGGTTGCCCACACTTCAGGGGGCAGGCTGCATACCCAAATGCAAACAGGAAGTGCTAACTGGATTAACCAGGTACATTCAAAAAGAAAGAAAGGGAGGCGGGGAGTGGGAGGGAAGAGGGAGAGAAGTACAGGAAGCCTAGAAGGAGTATGTTGAGGGGAGGAAGTGAGGGGTAGATATGATCGAGGTACATTGTATCCTTGTATGAAATTTCCAATGAATTAAACAAAAGACATAAGAGAATAAAGTCCTGGATCTCCTGCCAGAGTCTGCCATGTAGAGGTTCCTGGGAGGGTTCTGAGGATATGCATTTGCACAGATTCCCCAGGGGCTACTCTTGGTGGTGGTGGAGGTCCTGATTGTGATGGAATGCACATGTTTGGTATTAGGGCAACCAGACAGTAACTTCCAGGGGAACAGTGTCATGAATGGAGTGATACTTGACCTGCATCCTACAGGCCTACCACCATAGCATCAAGTGTGTAGTAGACACTAGAGAATACTCTTTTGGCCACCAAGTCTCCCCTCTCCATCCTCACCTCCTGCTCCTTTTCTGCCTGCAGTGGTGCCTCCTCAGGGCCTGCAGTTACTCAAGAGCACAGAGAACTCCCTGCTGGTGAGCTGGGAGCCCTCCAGTGAGGTGGACCACTACCTGCTCAGCTACTACCCCCTGGGGAAGGAGCAAGCTACAAAACAGGTCCAGGTGCCCAAGGAACAGCACACCTATGACATCACCGGCTTGATGCCTGGCACCAAGTACATAGTCACCCTGCGTAACGTGAAGAAAGACATCTCCAGCAGCCCTCAGCATCTACTTGCTACCACAGGTGAGGAGCATTCAGACACGGGCTATCTGCTATGGCCTTGCAGGGAGAATAAAGACCGACAGCGGGAACTCTCTCCTGTTCTCTGATCTATTGCTGGTTCCTTCTGGCTAAACCCAAGGTGAAGGGGCTCACAGACTTAATTCACAGAGTCCCAAAACCTTGGATACAGAACAGGGTGGAGGATGCAGGAGACTGGCTAGACTGGCTTGGGGGGCACAGTCTCCGCTGCATCATCAGACAACACCAGACCGATAGGAAGAATCAACGTCACTGCTTATGTCACTAATGCAATAGGTTCATGTCTCGATGAACATCCAGGGAATTAAAAGAGTAGAGAGGAGTTTATGACTTGTGACAAATAAGGGAAGCCCTGGGAATAACACTTGAAGTAGTGTTCTCCAAACAAAGAAATCGGGGGTGGGGTGGGGTAGGTGGGAACTTCTATTCAGAAATGCATACAAATTGTCCCATCACATGTAATCCTGAGCATGGAAAAAAAAAGGCTAGGGACTTGGGAGTCCTTAGAAACCATGTTAAAAGTGGCTTCTATGTAAGTACTTAGAATCCTAGTCCTGAGGAGGAGGAGCTGGGTAGATCACTCGTCAGCCACTCTAGCCTACTCAGTGAGCTCCAGACCAACGTGACAACCTGTCTCAAAAACCAAGGTTGACAATTCTTGAGAAAGAATCCCTGAAGCTTTCCTCTGTACGTACCTGTATAATTGCATCAACATATGCTACACACACACACACACACACACACACACACACACACACCATGAAGAGACACAGTGGCTAATATTAACACTTCTGTGTAAAGAATCTGGAATTATAATGCAAATAATGATTCAGACTGACTGGACCATTCTGACTGGTTTCGTGTTAGTTGCTTTAAAGGCTTTTAGCTGCAAAACCACTATACTATCACCAATACCAGCACTAGCACCACCACCATCACTACCAGCTGTAGTGGCACATGTCTGTGATCCTAGCCCTTAGGAGAAAGATGCAGAAGGATCACAGGTTCCAGGCCAGCTTGAGCTACCCTGTGAGAACCTGTCAATATATTAAGTCATTTTAAAAGATGGCTTTTCTTCCTCTAGGTGTGGGGAGGAACTACAGTATGTAGCTGCCTAGCAGCTAACATTCTTTAGAAATCCAGTCTTTCATGAATATTCTCTTTAAAGTTTCTATTATTATTATTATTACTACTACTATCTAATCTTTTTTTACAGTCTAGTCATTATCTCCTCCCAATCCACCACCCTTTGACTGTTCCTCACCCCATTCCCCCCAACCCCTGCCTCCAACTTCCTGGGGCCTCAAGTCTCTTGAGGGTTAGGCACATCTTCTCTCACTGAGTACAGACCTGGCAGTCCTCTTCTGTACACGTGTTGGTGTCCCCATATCAGCTGGTGTATGCTGCCTGGTTGGTGACTCAATGTCTGAGAGATCTTGGGGTTCCAGGTTAGTTGAGACTGCTGGTCTTCCCAAAGGTTCGCTCTCCTTCTCAGCTTCTTCCAGCTTTTCCCTTACTCAACCAAAGGGTCTCCTACTTTTGTCCATTGATTGGGTGTAAGTATCTGCATCTAACACTTTAAGCTGCTTGTTGGGCCTCTCAGAGGGCAGCCATGATAGGCTCCTGTCTGTAAGCACACCATAGCATCAGTAATAGTGTCTGGCCTTGGAGCCTCTCCTTGGCTGGATTTCAGTTTTGGCTGGTCACTGAACCTCAGTCTCTTCTCCATTTTTGTCCCTGCAGTTTTTTCAGACAGGTACAGAGTTTTTGACTATGGGATGGCAACCCCATCCCTCCACTTGATGCCCTGTCTTTCTACTGGATGTGGATTCTACAAGTTTCCTCTCCCAATGCAGGGCATTTCATGTAAGCAGCTTTGACTTTTGAGCATTTGAATCAGTCTAGTTGTTTGAGTGACTGATTCCTTCCATTACCCAACCCTTGTTTACTGAGGACCCACCAGGTGCCAGGAGCTGTTCTAGGTGCTGACAAATATTCACTGTCTTATCCTACATTAAATCCCTGGGGAAAGATCTGGATGGGTAGGATGTTGGCTTGTAGTCATCTTTGTAGAAACTGCTTCTCCTGATTTGGTAGGAATATAGTGAACTATTGTCAACCAGTGTTGTAAGGGCTTTGAGAGGCATGGCAGTTTTAGGGCAGGCCTTTGTTAGCAATCACTAGAAACACCCCTATAGCTGGAGAAATTGGATTTTGTTCATTTCATCCTAGGAAAACATACATCATGGGGGAACTCCAGGGGTGTCTCAATAAGACTGTAAGGAAGGACTGGTTCTAGAATATGGAGTTCAATTAGATAATCTGGGGGAACAGGGATTGGCTTTGATTGGGATATTGCCAAGAAGTGTGTGGGGGTAGGGGAGAAGAAGGAGATAACTGTGGCCATTTTAGGGACTTTTTTCTAGAAAGTGAGCTCATTAGAAGCAGCCAAAGCTGTGGTTGGAAAGAACTAACCACCTTGCCTGTTAGTCAGGAGAGGGGACATTTTGTCATTTCTGTGGACAATAGTCTTGCTTTTGTCTGTGTTCAGACACGGTCATAGAATGGCTTTGCTTTTGTCTCAGTCTTGCATGTTTGCAGAGTGTCCTTGGCTAATGCTAATGTTCTGTGGAATGGCATATGAGCACGGGAGAATACTAAGCATAGCTATGAGAGCCAGGCCAACTTCTGACCAGTAGGGGTTGCTTTTGTCTGTAGCTACATCTGCTACAGACCGGAAAACACTGAAACTCCCAGGGAAGGTCTGGAACATCTGTTCAAAAGCCTCAGCAACTCTTCTTAGAGTCTTCCTCTGAGGATTTGTAAAATCTTGCTACTGTGAAGTGTGCCTTTCTGTCTAAACTGATTCAAGTTCAAATCTATCTTCCACGCACCTCAGGGAGCTTTAGACCTACTAATTCTTATTCCCATCTTGAACATTCTCCTTAATTCCTTGCTTTTTTTTTTTTTAAACTGTGAATACTTCCCAACTCTCTTAAGTCATGTAGGACCTCTTCCATAACCCTGAAGTCACCTTCATTACTTTCCTATTGGCTTCACTTGGGGAATTCTCTGTTTGAAAGAAGCCTCAATGCAGAGCCTGGGCTTAGCAGGTAGGAGCTGCAGGTCAGGAGAAAGACTCTGGGAGATTCTTGTCTGTAGACGAGAGAATCAGAGATACTCAGAACAGTGGGTCCTTGGGATAACTGGATTTATACTCTGCCTAATATAAAAGTTCGTTGTCATACATCCTTGATGAGTGGTCAGCCACAATGGGTGGGTGTGCCTCCAAGGTAAAGGTGACAAGACCTTGGAAGGGGGCAAGGTTGGGAGTCTTGGGAGTTTTCTTCCCTTCCCTTCCCTTCCCTTCCCTTCCCTTCCCTTCCCTTCCCTTCCCT